GGCCCCGGCACTGACGTGCTCTGCAGACAGCCACGCCGCTTGTCCTTCTCCCATCGCATCCTCTTTGCCGGCTCCTGTAGCCTCCTTCGTGTACATTTTTGCCATGCCTCTGGTTTCGCTTGAGCTGCAGTTTATTCCCGGCAATCAAAAACCAACTGCGCATGCAACAGTGGGAAAAGGATACAGTACCACAAATTTTTACTGTAAAAAATGATGCAAGGAAGTTGCCGAGTTTATCTGCAGTTTCATAATCCTCTTTGATTGCTCCACTTCTAGACGGGCTAGCAAACCCACTGACATTCTCACAAGTTTCCTACGCTTGATACACTGACAAAGGATCCAGCTGGAGGAGTTTGACAGAAAATATTGTGGTTTGATGCCTCAAGCTGGTTACACATCAAACTCTGTTTGCACTCCCGATTTCTCCAGCATTACACCCGCTGTAGGTGATGTTAATCCTTCTGTCTTTAACAGTGACCCACTCCTTCTTAGCCAATACCTCCCCCGTTTCAAAACCGATGGCTGGAAATAGTTGCATGCTCTCCCTCTTGCACGTTCGTGCAAAATATTCACAGGTTTTCCCCGCTGGTTTCCCACCTACTCAAGAATGGTGCAGAATGAGTCACGGAGATCTGCAGGGCCAGCCCTACCCTGTGGAAACACTCCGAAGGAAATTTCCCTGACAAAGTCTATTTCAAAAGGGATGTACCCCCACAGACAACCTTTTGCCGCTTTAAGGCTAGAAACACTTCCGTCTCTGCTTCCCAACCACTCTTTTTTGATATGCTGTATTTGTTATTCACTGCCTATTGCCAGCTTTCAGATCAGGCACCTGTATCAAATTCCAGCAGCCCGTCCCTGTCCGCCCCTAACGATCTTTTACTTGCAAATCACGACAACCAATTCACCTGCAGCTCCTCCCCAGGCCTCAGCTTTATTACCTTCAAACCTTGCCTTAACATAAAAGCTCCTCCTACTCAGTCCTCACACCGAGGTTTATTTCCCCAACAGGTTTTACTTGCGATCCAAATAGTAATCATCATAATAAAAAAAAAAAAAATCCCTTCTACATGCTTTACTTCCAGTATACAAAGGAAACAAGATAAAGAGAGGCTGCTTAGCTGCTTCCTAGCAAAACATCAAGCAACACACCATCTGCAAGCAAAAGACGAAGCAGTCTGTAACATTTTCATGGCAGTAACGCGCAGACAGATGCGCTCGGAGGAGACAGACTGGGCGGGTGGCACAGAAACCCCACAACATGGCCAACCTGCCTGCAGGCCAGCAAGCAGCTGCAGCTGGTGTCAGGCAGAGGTTCGGCGCTCACTCACCTCCTGGTTGTAGATCTGAAGCACCTTGAGAACTGTGTCCTGCTCCCCGCTTTCCACGGTGGCTACCACAGTCCTGAGCTCCATTATTGCCACAGCTCAGCTACAGCGGGAGGTGAAACCAGGAGGAAGGGGAGCGAGAGGGCTTCCAGGGCTCTGGATAACGGTGATGCAAAAGGACCTCGACACACAGATGTCTGAGAAGGAGAGAGAAAGGGGTGGGGAAAGGAAGAAGGAAAAAAAAAAAACCAACAGAAAAAACCCAAGTGAGATTGCTCATGCTACTGCATCCATAAACGCAGAGCAGATGGATAACGCAAGTAAAACCAGCAGCCAGCTTCCTCTCTCTCCCTCTAATCCTCTTCTCCTCTTTGCTTTTCAATGTTTAATATATGCCCTCCCAGTAAAGCACTCGGGGAAAACCTTCCCCCCACCCAGCCAGGGGATTAACACAGAGCAGATAACAGCAGCTCCCTGAAATAGCTCTCTGCCTCCTCCTCCCTTGGCTGGCCTGATTTCTGTTACTGCACAGCAGAATAAAAAATAAAATATCCAGAAACATTCCTGTGGAGTAAAAAGGGATGGAGAGGAAGGACAGACAGACAGGAAAGCATCCTCCTGGCTTGAGGCGGAACTACCTTTTAAGGTGGTGAAAAGAAAGAGATGATGAGGATTTTGTGGCCGTCGCTGCTCCGGGCGGTCAGTGCCCGAGACCGGCTGCGCAGCAGATTATGGCAGATACGCCGCACACGCAGCCCGGGGACGGCTGGCTTCCACAGCTCAAACCTTCATACCATTACACGAGATAATGTGCCTCATGATAACAACGTAAACGAGCAGATGCGCATAAAGACATGGATGACGAGATTATTTTAGACACGGGCACAAGTTTAACAGCTTGCAGAGCCACGCGAGTCCCCAGTGTTGGAAAGTAACTCCTAATGGTGGAAAACCTGTCAAATCTGAGCACGTACGTGAGCTCACACACCCGTTTAGACTCCGTGTAGCTCTGCGCCGCGCTCTGCAATACGGCCAAGCGCTGGTCGCACCCAAGGACAAGAAAGCGCGCTGACCCTGGGACCCTGCGCCCAGAGCCCCTGGGGTTTTGGGAGATCACAGGGGAGCACCAGGGCACCCATCCCCTCCTGCCCCAACGCAGCCAAAGAGGGGTTTGGGGGACCAAGGGCAAGTCCTGCATTTCGAAAGCCAGAAAAACCACGAGAACAGACGGATCAGCTCCCCGGGGGCAGGGGGCACGGCACCCCCAGCGCCAAGGGCCCGGGGCACCGGACGGCCTCCTCTCCGTTCTCCGGGGGGAACGGCAAGAGTAGATCACAGCATCTATCATATTCCCCCCTCACCTTTCCATACCCCTCCCCAGCTGCCTCCTCACACTGTTACCTCCTTCCTCTACCACTTTTTGCACCTTTCAAAACCCCTTCGAGCCCTTTTTTTGGCCCCAAAAGAGCCGGGCAGAGCGCAGCCGGTACCTGCGGCACGTAAACCCCCGGAGACGGCCGAAGCGGGCCGGGACGGCGG